CCAAATGGCCCTCTCGCTGATGGCTGGAAATTCCATCCTGGGAGTTCCAGACAGCAGAACTTGTCATCTAACAACTATATTTACACCTCAATGATCCTTTAGAATTATAGATAAATAACGGAATCAGTTCTAGTTATAAGCAACTTAAAGCAGGTCCCTTTGTGAAGAAAGAAGAAATAACAGCTGTTAAAATCCTAAAGGACCTTGAAAAACTGGAAAAGTATTTGGAAACAGGTTTTAATGGGCTGGCTATGGAACAGAAAGTCAGAAGGGAATGGTGCCAAAGTAAGGGGAAAATCACTTAATTTGGGGCCGAGAGTTGCATCAGGAAAGGACTGTACTCTTAATTGAAATTATAGAAATATTAAGCAGCACTATAATAAATATAGCAGGGTACTTCTGTTTGCTTAACTCCTTCTGAGTAGCCTTCAGCATGTGAATATTCGTAAATAAGTCCCATTATACCTCAACTACTATTTAACAAGACCCCTTGAATTTTTCATTCTTTAGGGTGACCTAGGCAATACTGCTTCACCTTCTGGTAAGTGGATCAACTTACCCAGTAGCCCAGGCTCTTCCACCCTGAAGGAAGAGCTCAGTGGAGTCATCATCTCCTCTGGGAAATCTCCCTGACTTTCCTCTCTGTGCTCCTATGTAATCTTTCTTTGTATCTCTCCATCACTACCTTATCACAGTCATGGCTTTGCATTTACGTTGTTCTTTTTTAAAATGTCTCAATCTTACTCTTATATTTAAGCAACATTATGGCAAGGACCATGAGGACCAAGACTTTCTTTGTTCACCCTATGTTCCTAATGCCTCACAGAGCATCTGACCCTCATTAGCAATTGATAAGCACACTACTTGTTGAAAAGATAAATGAATGAATATGTGGATAGATCTCCTTAGGGTATCAGTCAAGCTCTAAGGGCAGAAATAATAACAATGTTCAAAATAGTTATCACAAAGGTAAGAAGAGATAGGGCCATGCCTTGCCCTGGATTTGATTTACAGAAAATTTCTAATTTTCTAATGATGTGGTAAACATTAGAACTGGTCTTGATCCTTCCTGAGAAGGCCTGTCCTAAGAACTGACTAGGTGTATGATGAAAGAATCTCTATTAACAATAACATATTTTGATCTGAGGCCCTCTTACCTGAGCTCTCTTACTCTCTTACCTAAAGTGACTTTACCTTAAAGGACTGTACAAGTCAGAAAAGGATTCTATCGAAGCAAAGAGCCCCACTTTTATATTCTTGGATAGTAAGTAATGTTTTCTAGTAATAGTAGGCATAAACTGGAGCCAAATCAATACATAGCTTTGCTGCCTTCCCCTTCTTCTGCTGAAAAGAAGCTAGCAGATTTCTAGGTCACCTCCCTTTACCTGATGTTCTTTGAATCCAGTGATTCGAACCTCTTTGGACTCCTACCCACCTTCTATTCATGCAGCAATTTTTCACATGAAAATTACCCTATGGAAGATTAGCAACCTATAAAGCCATCAGGGGAAGAAATTGATATTCTTATAACTCAGAGGGCCCTGGTCAGTTGGTTGGAAGCTAGTGTCACTGAGAACAACCCACACCACCCTTAAATGATAATTTCCAGAATGAATGAATGAATGTGTAGATAGATAGACATTCCCAGTCACCCTTGACTACCTTTGAGACAGGGAACTTCATCTCTGTATTTCCAGCAAGATCACGCTGTACCAGGTGGTTTCTCCCCTTCGCCACCATTGCCCTTGTATATATGACTTTGACTTAGAAACAAACTGACCTTCCCGCTTGACAACATAAGTGATACCAGGAGGCAAAATGAGGATGAGAGCTGACCAAAGGAGAGGTTATATGTCTAAACTGTATCTATAGCCATGTAGATTCATGTGCCACAGCCTAGGAACTTCCAGTGCCAATTAAACCACCCAAAACCAAGTGAAGGAACAATCTTGTTATGTAAATGGAGACCAAACAATTACAAGTCCATTAAGCTGGGCCTACCACCCCTAGTGCAGCCTGGAGTTCTCAATCCTACCTACTATCTTCCATAAACACAGATTCAATTTTATCACCCTTCAAGTTAAAAATCTCCATGTGATTCTCATTATCTACAGAATCAGATACAATCTCTGTTCTCACTGTAGTCTCATACCCCATCATGCATCCTTGAATTTATGTTACCATAACAATTTTTTATATACTTGAAAATTCAAACAATATTAAGTGGTACAAATAAAAAAGTATTATGTTCCCTTTTTCTATCCCAACAGAAGTAAACTGTTAATGCCTGGTATGTAGCCCCTGTGGTTTTTCTATTTATAAAAATTAATGTACTGGAGTTGCATTATGACTTAGTAAATCAACTAATGCACATATTAAAAAATATATAGAAATAGGCACAGGGACATATGCAATGAAAAAGCACTACATGTGTGTCTCCCTGAGTAAACTATGAGTTTCTTGAGGAAAAAGAGCATGTCTTGCTATTTGGTAAATCTTCATGGCCTAGCACAATCACATGATAGGAGCTCACTAAATGATATATAAATGAATAAAAGGATGAAAAGTGCTGCTAATAAAGAGCTACTTTTTCTTAGTTTTAATGTGAACCTGAGAAAATTTGCATTTTATTTGTCCATTGATACTAGGGACATTTGTTAAGCATCTAGTATATGCTAGGCACTCTGTTTCTATATTGAAAAGAGAATTCTGGTTCTATTCCTGGCTAGACACTATGGCCAGGAATTGACAAAGGTACCCAAATGGCAATGATAAATGGAGATAAAAGGTTAAAAAAAATGAAGTATCACAGGCAATTGAAGGGAGCCAGAGTGTAGTATAGGCTTCAAGTTAGATAGTGGTTTGAAGGTAAACCAGCTCTTTTTGGATGAAGGTGCAGAAAAGACTTGATTTGTAACATGGGTGGTGTTCCATGGCCAATTTCAAGCTATCAATATATTTGACAATATAAACCAGCATACTACTGAATCAGAGCCTACCAGTCTACATTTTGGAAACACTTTTCCTCCCCCTATCGTGACAACCTCCCAACAAAGTGTTGTCTGAGACGTTTGAGCAAATGGAGATTAAGGGGACTAGAGAATATCTCCAGACCTGACTAGGTACGCAGAAAACTCTTCTATCCAGATGAAGATGATTTTTGTCTGTCTTGTTGGCTCTCAAGGCATCCAACCCTTCCCCCAAAGACTTCTTTTCCCTTTTGTATTGCCTGAGCTGCTGAGTTCTTCAGCAATACTTCCAACTCAATTTTGTCGAATGAGCCAGAAATCACTCAAGAAGATGAGGAAAACAAGAGGAGACTGCATATTATCAGTAGGGTTCAACTCTAACCAAGTTCACATCCCCTGAGGCTTCAACATGTATATTTGGATATCAAATTTACAGCAGAAACATGGGGCCTGGAGTCTGGGAGATGAGTCAGAGTATATTTTAAGAAGTATTGGACACATGTTCAGATTGTATTTTTTTTTCCCTTTGGAGCCAGAAAACAAAGTGTACCAGCTGTGCCACAAGAAGATATCATTTCAAAATCCTGTTTTGATTGTCCAAGTGAGAGAAAAGATCATATATGTTTCTAGAAATGGGGCTAGACCTAAACTAGTCAATCTTAGATCACAGTATTTTAATAGGATTATTTGGCTTTGGCTTCCACTATTTATCAAAAATCTTAAAACATAAAATAAAAGGAACAAAAAAATTATACCCACTGCTTTGGGACTCTGAAATATATTTTTCTAAGTAGAACTTCAACCCACAATATTCTTATTCATCTGCCCAAGACTTGCAAACCAATATGGGATTCTAATTTTACATTCAAAATAAACCAGTATGTCTGAAGAGAGCCCTTAGAGAGGGCTCTTTGATGATCAAAACAAAGAAAGGGTGGGGAATTATGGAGATAAAACTAGTCAGTTAAAGCCAATAAAATAGTATGTTTTGTTATTTAAATTAAGAATATCAATGTGTTTGCTATCGCTGAAAATTAATAATACACTTTATTCCTTCTGCGGAATATTTCCAACCAGGGGCAATCTATGAGCCTGCCATCACCCAGCACCCCATAAGCATAAGGGCCCTGTGCGTGGGGTTTAATGCTCTATGGTTGTCATATTGAAAGTCTTCATTTATCTTTGAATTTGTGCTTCAAAATGAAGTCTAATGAGAGCATCTGCAAGTGGCTTGGAGGCTCAGCCCCTAGAAGGACTCATGTTCTAACACTTCCCTGACCTGAGAGACTGCCTAATCTCTCCTCCCTCTCTTCCTGATACTTCTCATAGACTGATGCTGCCCTTTGGTCCCTGGCTCCAGTATAAGAGGGGTTGAAGTAGAGCTACTGTGTCTCACAATGTAGTCTGGCAGAGATGGCAGTATGCATCCCACCCTGGGTTAGGGTACCACACTACATTAGACAGGTGATTTGCAACGTGTGTTTCATATAAGAGCTCTACATGTAGGATATACCATCCAGGAAGATTTCACAAGGGGGTTTTGGCAGTCTGTTCATTAACTCAATCCATCACAACTATGAGCCAGGCATAATGCTAAGCCACTGAGTATATCTTCTAAAGAGCTTAGAGTCTTACAGAAGCACAAGCAGATAAAGAAAGAGAAATGTCAACATGGTTTGAGGAGTAGGAAAGATGTGGTAGTGTCTTAAAAAAGAAAATGATGAACTCTAAGGAACAGAGAAAAGGGACAGAGAATTCTTCCCCTTGCTGGTGAAGGATAAATAGTAGTGTTTCCAGGCGGTGGGAGTGGCACACTCAGGAAGAGAAGGTAGTAGGTGCAAAAAGTGGCAGGAAAGTTAGTAATGCATTGTAGGAGGACTTCCCAGGAATGTGTGATATTTTTCATAAAAACTGAGAAGACACAAAGACAAGAAGAAAGAGGTGGATGTCAAGAGCCATCTGTGGGATTTGTGTGAACTACATCAGCATTGTAGCCTAATGAATAGGAGAATCTGGTGTCTGGGAACTTACAGTGGACATTTCTTCTGGCGGACGGCCCAGACACATTGTGAGCCCTATTGAAGCTCTGCCAAAGGTCCCACACAGCACTGGAGATGGGGTGACCTGCTGTAACCGCACAGTCCTTCTGAGATGGGTGTGGCCTACCAAGATGCCAATCAACCTGCTGACTGCAAGACATCACAAAGCAAGACTCCACCCCTGAAACCCTATCCCTGCCTTTGATGTACCCCTTAAATAAACCACTGGAGCTATTTACTAATTGTCTAGTTCCAGCTCCTGTGTGGAGTGGACCTTTTGGGGCCTCCATTTTTTGATACTATCTTTCCTACTTTGTCTTTTGTTCTTCACTAATTATTCTAGACTTTAATTTCTTAGGTGGCTTACATTCTCCTGAGCAGGAAGAAGAACCCCCTAAAGAGGCGCTGGCTACCTCCCCAAAGCTGGAGAGAGGGAGCAAAGAGAGAGATGGAGGAAGAGAGAGAAATTAAGAAAAGAAGAAAGGAAGGGGCCCAAAAGAAATCAAGGTTGCCACTAGTTTCTGGAGTTCAGTGTGAAATTGAAGTCCAAGAGAAAAATCAGGAGCAAGATTTTAAAATGGGAAAACAGTATCCAGATTTTGAGAAAAGTTGAGTAGAAATTTTATAAAGTTATAAAAGTCTTAAGACCCTCCAGAATATTTCTGAAGTCTTCAGGATAAAATTGAAATTTTTCTTCATGCAGTATTTATCTGGTTTTTTGTTTTATTTGTTTTGTATTCTAGCATCTTATCTCCCTTCCTTATTCTTTGGAAAATTGTCATTCCCCATTGTATGAAGGCTTAATTGGGGTGAAGTCCAAGAATGAAACTGTAACTGTGTTTTCCACTTCTTGGCATTTCAGAGCTCCCTTGGTTTCTGACAACTGCCAAGCCTTTGTTCTTAAGCCTATGATCAGATTTGTGAAAACCATGATGTTCTTCTAATAACCTCTTACATCCAGTTAAAACCAGTTTCACAGGCTTTCAACTAAGAACATTGTTTTGACCAAGTGCATTATTTTTCAAATGCTCCTGTAATAAATTACCACACACCTATGGTTTAAACAATTCAAATTCATTTTGTTTACAATTCAATAGGTCAGAAGTCCAACTGGGCCTCACTGGGCTAACATTAAGGTGCTGCCATAGCTGTGTTCCTTTCAGGGGGCTTTGTTTCTTTGCCTTTTCCATTGCCTGGAAGTTGTTCTCATTCCTTGGGCCTGGCCACTCTCACATTTTCAAACCAAGTCATGGTAGATCGAGTCCTTGTCATATCACCATCTCTCTGGTTCCCTATTGTTTTAATAAAGGCTCTGCTCTTTATATATCTTCTTGTGATTAGCTTAGAATGCTCTGGAAACTCCAAAATAATCTCCCCATCTTAAATAGATGTGTAAAGTTCTTCTTGCCATTTAAGGTAACATATTTTCAGGTTGCTAGGATGAGGGTTAGGACATCTTTCACCTGCCACATGGGGTGATCAAACTTTATATACATGGTGGTAGGATGGATCAGAATCATATTGTCTGTGAAATGGTGCCCCAAGAAGAGAACAGCATCATTTTTAGAGGATTGGTGCCAAGGATGCATTGCCTGAGTCTGAATATCATGAGGAATTAAGACCCAAAAAGAGGGACATTATTCAGAATGGATACAGAATACAAAATTTTAAATGTTAAGGTTATGGAATATGGGAAAAGATTGAATAATTAATCTAGATAGAAGATAGAGATAAAACAACTAAATGCGGCACATGACTCTGGATTTATGTTCTGGTTCAGAAAGGGAAAAAAGACATTTTGGAGACAGATGAGGAGATCTGAATGGGATCTGTGACTTGGAGGGTCATATCATATCCTGAGAATTTCTTGCTTGGGAAGGTTGTACAGTAAAAAGGGAGAAAGTGTCCTTGCTTGGAGATGGGGTGGGAAACAAACAAGGGATGATTTAGAGATAGTGGGGTAACATGTTTGAACCTTTCCCTCAAATGAAAAAGACTAATGATGATGGAGATTCTACATGCATGCATGTTCACACACACACACAGAAAGAGGTAATGAGAAAGAAAGAAGGAAAAAATGCTGTAAAATTTTGATATTGAAGAATCTACATGAAAGGAATATAGTATTCTTTAAGTTTGAAATTATTTCAAACTGAATTATAAAATATGATGATGTAGGGTTTATTTGTATTGAAATGGAAAAGTGTCCAGGTAATCAGAGTATTCCATACATGTATATGTTAACAGAGTAATCTCCTGGCCAGATAATTGGAGGTAATTACTAACATTTTCCTCATATTTTCTAAATTACTTGGCATTTTTATGAGCTTTTTATTTTTTCTAATCAGAGTAAAATAAAAGGTATTTCCATTTTGAAGCCAGATTTTAAAAATTCTATAAACCAACTTCTATAAAACTTCTCAAGTCCTTTTTTTCTTTTTATAAATGGCAGGACTAAAATTATAGTATGCCTACAAATAAATTCATGCATATAGCTACTCACACTTAGGAAAGACATAGATATATAGACACAAAAGTACTTAAGTATACATTTTAGTAATTTCCAAGCAATGACCTAAAGTTGTCTTTACATGCACTCAAGTACACCATTAAGTGCTTGATTATATTAATAGTCCTAAATCTTTAAACCAGCAGTTTAGGAGATTAAAATTAAAATTAGTGGCATTTATATAACACTTTATAATAAGAAAGTTATTTCATTAAATCTTTAGAATCACATTTTTTGACTAGTACTGCTATGCCTCAACCTAGACCTCTCTATCTCATGAGATATGAGCTAGCACAGGTCTTCAGGATAAAATTGAGAAAGCTCTTGAGAGTATATTAGCAGGGTGGAGAGGAGCAGGAGAATATTCAGACACTTTTTAAAGATAGTTCTTACTCTTCTCACCCTGACTCACTGGCCAGGCAGTCAGCTTGTTGTCATGATTAGTCTATGTTCTGAATCTACTTCAGAGAGAGAGAGAAGACTCGGATAAGAAATCTGCAGGCATCATGTTTACCATAATCTCTCATCTTCATTCATCAATCCTCAGAAAGAGACCTTAAACCCATGGATGTTGGAGAAAATGAGATGCCACAGAAAGCAAAAGAAATTAAAATCTCCTAAGCAGGGCAAATGATTACTTTTTTCCAAAATCATAACTCATGGGCAGATAACTTCACGTGTTCAGTAAAGGTGAAACTCAATAAGGAAACACATACATCTTGAATTCTAACTGTGAAAAGTGGAGCTGCACAGCTGGTGCCTAGTTTTGTAGGTATCTTGTCTGCTGAGCCATATATAAGCAGTTTACAGAAAGAATTGTGTCTTTTGCATATCCCACGCATTTCTTGCTTTGCATGGCTTTCAGTAGGCTTTGTCTCTAGCTTTCTCTCTTCACATCATGAGTTTTCATTATCCATGACAGATCTGCATCACTGCTGAGGGAATCTAGTCTTCTTGCTCCTTTGTTAGTGTTATGGTTTGGATCTGGAATATCCCCTAAAAGCTCATGTGTTAAGGACTTGGTCCCTACTGCAGTAATGTCCAGAGGTGGTACTTTGGGGAAATGACTTTATAATGAAGGCTCTAATCTCATCTGTGGATTAATCCATTGGATGGTTAATAATTTGAGTGGATTATTGGGAGGTGGAATCAAGTTGGAGGAGGTAGGTCACTGGGGGTGTGTTTTAGAAGGTTTATCCCCAGACCTTTCTGCTCTCTCTACTTCCCAGCTGCCACGAGCTGAGCAAGTTTTCCTCTGCCATGCCCTTCCACCATGACGTCCTGCCTCACCTCAAGCTTAGAGCAATAGAGCCAGCTGACCAGGGATTGAAACCATGTGTCCAAATAAATCTTTCTTCTCTTACTTGTTTTTTTCAGGTATTTTTCACAGTGATAAAAAGCTGACTAACCCAGTAATCTGTGATTGTCACTAAAGGTATACAACATTTGAAGCAGGTGGTGAGAGTAGAAAAAATTATTTCTGGATTATACCCTAGAGTCCAATCGATTCTCAAAATCATTTGCACAGGATGTAACGTGGATACAGGAAAAGCTGTCAGAGCTTGAAACTACTCTTTGTAAGAAGGAAAATAGATAGATGTGGAAGAAAGCAAATGGTTAGGAAAGGACAGGCAGGAGGCAAGAAAGCTAAGCACCAGAGAGAAAAAAAAAGAGAAGCAACTGAGATCACAAAGACAGGAGAGAAGAAACATGTCTTCTGGGAATATTTAATAAGAAATTGTCCTGGATATGCAGGAGAAAGTACCTAGATTCCCTGGTCAAAAATCCTTAGTCAACACCATATTGTTTACAAAAAGTCTTATGAAAATGAGATTTATTTTTGAGGAAAGGATAAGATGACAGCAAACACAATAAACTAGGCTGTATAATTTTTCATGGAAAGTCAGTTTCTCCCCAGGCCAATCAAAACAAAAAATGTTAGAGATAGTTGTTAGAGATCATTCAAATGTTAGTTTGAAAGAATACTAAATTGTCAGCCCTCCTGCTTGTATCCATCTACCCCTGGGAGTGGAATGCTCCTAAATTATCTTACATTTTCATGTTTTTGCATAGCTTCTGAGAAGCATTGTGAAGATTCTCCTGGCACATTGCTAAATGGCCTAGAAAGGCCATTGTCTGTGTGCATGCCCCTGATCCCCAGGCAGACCTGCCCTGCCCAAACACGGAACAGCCAAGGGGGAGCCATAAGAGGTTGGTGCCATTTTGTGCTGCAGGAAGAAGAAAGGTGTCCCCATTACCACTATCATTCCCTCCTTCAGGGTTTTGTCTTTTCTTCACCTGTGACCACATAATCCTCATCTCCAAAACCATCAGAACCCACACCACGCTGGGAAATGACCTACTGCAGTCCCTAGAAGGGTCTTCTCTCCCCAGCTCCTTCTCACAGTTTCTTTCCTTCTTCCAGGATAAGTATAAATATTTACAGGCACCAGAAGTCTAGAGAACCACTGTTCCTGCTTGTCAGGCTCCTGTTAGGCTGTCTTCAAGGATATCCACTTTCCATTTCCCTTCCATGCCAAGCCTGATAAAGCACTAAATCCCCTTTGTGTGGGTTAATCTTATGCCTTAACTTGGATGAGTT